CTTGACTGATTTCTGACTGAGATTCCCTTTATAAGCAGTCATTTCACTGTTTAACATCTACTGATGATTGAAGAAAATAAAACAGTTCTACATATCTACTGAGTGAGAACCTGTAACATTGAAAATCTGACTAGAGTAAGCTGAGACGTTTACCTTTGGTTCTCCCTGTCCTATCAAACGTGTCCTTACAACATCTGCTGGCTGACAGAACAAGGTAGAGATACAACCAGCAAGGCCTCCACACATGAAGTGAGTAATTGGGCGGTAGTCAGTGGTCAGTGTTGATGGCAGTTCATTCCACACTTCTTTAGTGAAAAACTCAAAGGACACAAACTGAAACAATAAATATATGTTGAAAAGCAAACGATTTCAATATTTGCAGGAAATAGGATTTTTTTTGCTAAAATAAAGAAAAAAGTGGGGATTTTGTGCCTAACTACAGGAATATTATAAGAATTTTCAGACAAAGCAAAGGAGCATTTTCATTATTATTATTATTTATTTTAATTTGTTTATTTTAATTTATTTATTTATTTATTTATTTATTTATTTATTTATTTTTGGAGGGGGTGTCCAGAGATTTGAGCATGAGGGTTACCATAACCAGACATGAGCCTGGATTTATATCTAAAAAATATTTCATCACTTGTGCTGAGCATAACATTGTGTGGAAAAGCAAAAATCAAAAGCAGTTACAGCCTATGCTGCTCTTTCTCTACAAATTTCTGTGTCATTCCAAAAAGATCTATTCATAGTTCACCAGTATAAATTCCTAACATCCCTTAGATAAGGCAATCACTGACATGAATGCAGTTACCTTGAACAATGTTTCCATAAAATGGAAAATATAGAAATTGTAGGAACTTTTCTATGGGTCCTATTAAATAGGAATTATAGGGGCATTGGTACATGTACATGTAGGTCTGTCAAAACCTACATAACATTTATATATAAAGTATATATATTTAAAAAAAAACAGTAACAGACATATGTAATCTTTCACACAGAGAAAACAAGATATAAGGATAATAGCTCTAACTAAACATTACTTCAGGAGACTACTAGAGTCTTTTGGTAAAAAAAAGCATTTCGTAGATGCCACTGAAATCCTAGTCATTACCTACAATTGTAGTTTACTCTTTTTAAAGACATTCATAAGTACCAAATTAACATGTCTGTAAAAAATTTTTTTCTTCAATGCATGCAATCCTTGCATTTTAAATATGCATAGACATGTTATTATTAGCTTGGTGTAGCAATTCCATTGTATAATACAATTATTACATACCTTTATACAGGGTATTTTAAAAGAGTAGGCAAATTAAAGAAAAAATTATAAAGTTTTCTGAACATGGGATAAAAACATCTTCATTTTGATTAGAATCTAAAAATATCATGACAGTAACTGATGCTTCAGTGAACATAATTTCATAAGCGTTTAATGCATATATTAGCTGAACCTAGACTATTCCAAATAAACAGATAATGGAATGTACATACCTGTACTCCTCCATATGTTACAGACAGAACCTGAGCCGGCATATGACCTTTCCATAAAGCCCTGACTCCTTCTTCAGTCACGATCTTTCTAGTTGCTTGGAGAATGCTTTGGTATTTGGACTGCAGAGATCCTCTTCTGATTGGCTCAATTTGAAGCTGACATATAAGAGAAAAAAGTTATACTATTTATGACACAAATCGTGGAAAAAAACCTTATTATTAAATTTGAAACAGAAATATACTTACAAATATCAAACCCTCAACCAAAGTTTTATGGAAAGATTTTAAAGGTATGAATGAAATTTGATTAACTGCTATATGTATAATCATGAGTATAAAGCAAAACATATCAGGGCACTTACTGTAACCTCAAAGAACTGGTCTGTTCAATTTATTAATTATCTGATGACACATTTAATATAAAAGTAAGTCCCATCTTGCTTCTATTTTAGAATATTTATTTTACATTCACTTGACACATTTTTTTACCTGAAACCTGATCTTGAGGACATCCAAAGGCTGTATCAATGTCCTTGTCAAGATGCCACTTAGGGCACCTGCAGCTCCTTGTTCTGTTTTGGATAGCTCTACATCCCTCTTTGGGTCATAGCCAACCATAATCAGAACGAAGCTGAATAAGATTTCATATAGACCATAAACTACATTGTACATGTGTATTGGTTATACAGTACAACCTGATATCAAGGGTTCCTATAATAGTATACAAAATTGCAGTGTGAGCAACACAACATTTTTGTAACAGATTACTAGCGCACCCCAGTATGTGTACACCGTTATAACTTACATGTGGGGATGTATAAATTCGTTTAAAATACCTGACAAAATTTGATAGGGCGTCTTTCGTTATAATAGACTAGGATGGTATTATTAATTTTTTTTCATGTGGTTTTCGTTTAATTATCCAAACAAGATGACAGCCGGGCTCGAGCGGGATCAACCAGTACAGTAGGCTAGGATCTAGGCTAGGTGAGTGAGCGTCTTATGCCCCTATTTCACACAGACCATGAATCCCACGAATGGCCGTGAATTGACAAATTTCAAGATTTGTGGTTGAATCGTAATCAGTTCGTGAAGTTCTTAACAGATTCGTATATATTCATAGTCAGTTCGGGGCCGTAGCGATAGTCCGAAGGTTCAATAGTCCGAAGGTTCATTGGTCCGAATGTTCACTATAGAACCTTCGGACCAATGAACCCTTGATTAAAAAATCGATAAAAATGTTACCACTTTTCGGACCAATGAACCTTCGGACCAATGAACCTTCGGACTATCGAGACGCCCCCGTCAGTTCTTGCACTTCTTGACCAACAGGAATTAGTGGCAAAAACTTTGATGCCTCTATTTCACACAGACCACAAATCCCACAAATCGACAGGGATTGAAAATTTCAGGATTCGTGGTTGAATCGTAATCAGTTCGTGAAGTTTTTTAACAGATTCGTATATAATCGTAGTCAGTTCTTGCAATTCTTGATCAATCGGGAATTCGTGGCAAAAATTTTGAGCTGTTCCAAATTTTGGCCACGAACTCCCGATTCCAAAAAATCGTAGTGAATTTCTGGATATTCGTGCGTTTACAGCCGAATCCCACGAATATACGTAACACTATCGCACCTGTATCGTAACTATATCGTAGAGCGTGTCGAATTAGACCAGAAAATTGGCAAAATCTCACGAATCCTGAAATTTGTCAATTCCTGGCGATTCGTGGGATTCGTGGTCTGAGTGAAATAGGGGTATTATCTGGCGAGCTAACGACTACAGAATGATCGCGTTAGGGAAACCGACCTGTTAACTTGTGCATGAGATAAATCGGTTGCAAGTACCAGTGAATAAGTGTTTACATAGTGTCCGCCTCAGGTAATGTCGCTTAAGATAATCTGGTCTTTCCTCTCATATAAGATATGATGGGAAAACCTAACATGTTTGTGTGTTCACTTACCTCGTGTTTGAATGCCAGTGTTATTGAAGTACCCACATACGGTAACGGTAGTGGCCTTCATATTGAGCAATCGGCAATCCTCGGCTCATTCCGCAAGCTTCATACTCGAGTGCGGAGACATCCGAGTAGTTCCGAGTGCATATTGAGGCCAAGCAAATTCCAATCGGCAATCCTCGGCCAATTCCGCAAGCTCCATACTCGAGTGCGGAGACATCCGAGTAGTTCCGAGTGAGCAAATTCCGCTTTCATTTTGTGAAGCGAAAATGCAGTGGCGAAAACTAAACATGACTGACACTTTCTGTTTTATTCTCATGCCACTGTTAAAGGACAGAAATCGTTAGCCAGTACATTTTAATGACTCAGAAATCATTTATTTTACAATCACATATGATTCTTCCATTACTTATAAATGTAGGCTACATGCACTGGTGGCCGAAGACCGTAACCGGGTGGGGTGGGGGGTGGGG